GGTCCAATTGGAAGCCAAAGTATATTGCCTTCTTGCCCCTTTTGTTTTCTGTTAGCTATTTTTTTTCCTTCTCTTCACTTTTGAGATCACTTCTACCGATAATCACTTAAGGTGAGGCAGGCTAGATGATTACATGATGGAAATGTTTAACCATTGCACTTGCTATTATAATTCTATTGTAAACCACACTACCAGATTCAAAGAGAATGTGCTTTGGAGTATTTCTTGGTAGGGCTATTTCCTTTCTGCCTCATTCATGTGCTTTGCAAAGAAATCTGCTTAGCAATTGTGGGATGCTGAATGCTGAATGCCTTAGATTGAGCAATGGCTGAACTGCTCTTCTGTGCATTAGGATTTTTTTAAAAAAATCAGATGTATTTTAAAAATAATGGTACAAAACCAAGAGAACATTTCATATTTATGTGCTAAGAAGGAATTATTTAGAGATCTAATACAGTGAATTGAATTTGCCTGCCTTTTCTTCAACATAAAAATGATTATGGAGATAATATTGTGTGTCCTTACTCATTTAATATTCCAATCACAACTGCAGATAGTTTTACAGTTAAAATATTTACAATATTTTAAAGAGAGAAAATAATTGCCTGTATTAGTTATATATGTATTAATTATATATGTGGTCACTGAATTTTATTTGCATTTAACACTTAGTAGTAAAGCTAGTAGTAAAGCTAGTGGCCTAACATATCAACCTTCCTCTTGATGTGTCTTTGTATCTCTCCATGAGAAAGTAAAAAACGACTCCTTATTCTACTGAAAGACCATTTTTTCTATTTCAGAGAACAAAAGAAAAAAAAGAAAAAGTGAAGAATTTTTTCTTTTTATGGCAGTAATTTTTCTTGGGGCATTAAAAATATTTCCTAGGATTAATGTTAGCAATAATCTTGTCAATACTGAGTGTGTCATTTTGATTAACATTAATGTAAAAAGTAGCTTGGGTGTACACACATTGTGCCTCCAGATGTTTAGAGAAACATACCACATAATTCAGAGCAGATACAAACCTTTTTGCATGTCCTCTTTCTCTCTTCCACACCTTTTCACTCACAAGGTGGCACTCACAATCTTCCTCTCTGCATGTTTTGTACTGGTTAACAATACATATGAAGCTTCAGAATATGAATTTTGACCATACACATTAAAATAGGGGCCCTGATCATTGTGAAAGAATCATTTTATTCTAATAAGAAGTGCCATACTAAGCAAGATTCAGATCCTGATTTTTGTTTTTGAAAATGCCAGATATTTTTATGGTTTCTGTTGGCTATAGCAATAGCATTTAGACTTATGTACCACTCCATAGCATTCTCTGAGCAGTTTACAAATGTCAGCATCTTGCTCTCAACCATCTGGGTCCTCAATTTACCAACCTCAGAAGGATGGAAAGCTGAAACAACCTTGAGCTGGTCAGGATCGAACTCGTGGCTATGGGCAGAGTTAGTCTGCAATACTGCATTGTAATCACTGCATCACCACGGCTCCTTTCCCATTCTGTACCTTTCCCATTCTTCACTCGTCACTTTAGCTTGGTGCAGCTATCACTCTAATTCTAAAGATTGGTATTGCATCTTAAAGCTCCTTGTGGGAAAAAAATGTGAATGTTTTTGCCATAAGAATTCCCAGGAAGCTCTGGCTATGAGTTCCAGGAATTGTAGGCCTAAGACTGAAATTTGGGTTAAAGGGTTCTATTTTGGATGGATGGGCAGCTACTTTAGAGTTGTTCAAAGTTTGTATAAAAATCATATTCATATTGAAAATATATTTTTTTAAAAAAACCTAGATGTTTTTATAAGTATAACAAGCTGTTATTATCACAGTCATGTATTCTATTTCACTAGATTGTTAGGTTCTTTTCAGCAGAAAATTTGGAAATGATGTATTGATTGAAAACCATGCATTAATCAGATTTAGACTGTTAAAAGATTAGGAGCAGATAAACCCATATATTCATTTATAATTTATAAGCAATATATTGTATTATTTTCAGTCAATCAAACTTCCTTACTAAGAACTACAGTAGGAGCAAACTTACTGATATACATAACAGTAATGTTTATTTTAAAAAATGAGGTACAATATGCCATTTCAAGGAAAGATGTGGTTTCTTTAAAGAAAAAAAATGTGTGAGAGAAAAATTCTTTAGTATTTCAGAAAGAAAAATTCTTTAAAGAAGAAAGATACAGCATGTGTGCTCATGCCTACTCTGAAGCATCTTTCTGCTTTTGGATTGAGACATCCAAAGATTGGATGTTTCAAGGTTGTGAGCATTTATTCATGCAAATATGATAAGTGAAACCTGAGTCAATTATATGTTTCAGTTAGCTTTATTGATTAGCCTATAGGCCATATCAAAGCACAATTATACGTAATGATTTTGACTCTTTTTTTCAAGTTCACGTGGAAGCTTGGAAAAATAAAGTTTTAATGATTATCAGCAAGATTGGATAGCTCATTTAGGATATGAAGCCTTTTCCAAATTATTTTGGAGCATGTATAGTAATAATTGCTTTGTTACACCACAGAAAATATTGTTTACAATAATCTATAAGCAACCAAACACTATGAAAATTTTATTACCCCTTATTTTCTGTACCAGCATCTGGTATATGGAAGTGTATCTCAACATGAATGTGTCACTTAATATCTTAACTGTTCATCGCTGCTAGAGCTATTGTTCCATGAATTTTAAGGTCATTTTAATTATCAATCTAAGCAAGTGGTCAATGTCACCAGTAGACTAATGGAGAACATGCTACAGGGGCACACATAACAATTGCTGCCATTAGCCTTACAAAATTACAAGTAAAAATAACATCAGAAAGTGGTTTAAAGTTCAATTAATCAAGGAAAGAAAACTAATAATTAAAAAGTAATAGTTTATCAACATAACAGTAACAATATTACTGACCGGGAGGATCTTTCATCAGGTTCGCCTGATTCGCCAGTTGCGTCCCTTTCTGGATCGGGACTCCCTACACACAGTCACTCATGGCCTCGTCACCTCCCGCCTGGACTATTGTAACACTCTCTACATGGGGCTCCCCTTGAGGAGCACCCGGAGGCTCCAACTGGCGCAGAGTGCGGCCGCGCGGCTGGTTATGGGAGCAACATGGCGCTCCCGTGTGACACCTCTCCTGCGCGAGCTGCACTGGCTCCCGGTGGTCTTCCGGGTGCGCTTCAAGGTTTTGGTTACCACCTTTAGAGCGCTCCATGGCTTAGGACCTGGCTACTTACGGGACCGCCTACTACCACAAACAGCCTCCCACCGGCCGGTACGCTCTCATAGAGAGGGGCTCCTCCAGGTGCCGTCAGCCAAACAATGATGACTGGCGGCCCCTAGGGGGAGGGCCTTCTCTGTGGGGGCACCTATCTGGAACGAGCTCCCCCCAGAGATACGGAGGATCCCGGATCTGCGCACCTTCCGCCGTGCTTTGAAACACTCCTATTCCAGCAGGCCGGCCTGGCCTAATTTTCTCCCCTTCTTTTAAATTTTTAAATTGAAATTTTAATTTGTTTTAAATTATTGGGAATTTTAATTGTCTCAGGCAAAATTATTTAATTTGGTTTTAATTATGTTTTTTAACTTTTGTATTTATGTGTTTTATTTTGTGCCTGTTCACCGCCCTGAGTCTTTCGGGAGTAGGGCGGTATACAAATTTAATAAAATGAAATAAAATGAAAATGAAATATTGTATGCTATCCATAGTCACCTTTAGACTAGATAAAATTGAGAAATAAATAAAGTAATAAATAAAGTAATAAAGTAATGATGGAGGCTAGCTCCATGTGATTGAAGTCCTGCCTTTTTGCGGGCATGAGGCAGGGTTTTGATCCCATGCTTGTAGCTGCCATCTTGATCACTCCATGCAGGCCTCCTTATTTTTTCTACAATTCCACAATTTTTATTTGGTACTCTTAAAAATGCAGACATATGTTTGCTTGGTCTTATTGGTGAAAGATAATTTCTGATAAGAGTCCTAACATTTAGAAGCAATGCGTTTTTTAAAATGTCATTACTTTTTTGTGTGCTGAATCTAATTAATACAGTAATACAATACACGCTGAATGCCTAGTCTACCACAGAGGGTAACTGATAGGGATGCATTATGTTCTAAAACAAAACAAAACAAAGACAATGCAGTGTCTCATTTCCTTGGTCATGAGCAGCTTTTTTTTGCAATGTGTTTTATTATGAGGAAAAGTATATGGGCAGGATGGAAATAGGCACTGAAACCAGAGATGGGTTTCAGCAGGTTCTAACCACTTCTGGAGAACCGGTAGCAGAAACTTTGAGTAATTCGGAGAACCGGTAAATACCACCTCTGACTGGCCCACCCCCATCTATTCTCTGCCTCTGGAATCCAGCTGATTGGGAGGGAATGGGGATTTTGCAGTAACCTTCCCCTGGAGTGGGGTGGGAATGGAGATTTTACAGAATCCTTCCCCTGCCACACCCACCATGCCACGCCCACCAAGCCACACCCACAGAACCGGTAGTAAAAAATTGTGAAACCCACCACTGATTGAAACCATAATGAATTGTTAGGAAGTTTCTTGATTTATACCCCATCTTTTTATTTCATAGAATACTCCGGGGTGTGTGTGAGAGCCACATTTTAAAGCAAATTTAGGCTTAAAATGAGATGGGGGGTATAAAATAATAACCTGGAGATCTTTTTTTTTCCAGGATACCCAACAGAGCAGCGCCAGGACAATGCAAACGTTGACTGGGATTATCTAGAACAGAAGTCTTCAAATTTGGCAGCTTTAAGACTTGTGGACTTCAACTCCCAGAATTCTCCAGCCAGCTAGCTGGCTGGAGAATTCTGGGAGTTGAAGTCCACAAGTCTTAAAGCTGCCAAGTTTGAAGACCTCTGATTCTAGAACTTTCGGCCCCCAAGACACACACAGAGACACACACCAAACATATAGACAAACACAAACACACACACGAAACTCTCCTGGAGGATCGCCTGCGAAAAGGCGGCTGGCGGGCAGCAGAGGGAGCTGCAAACCCTCAGCCTCCTTTTTTCTCCCTTTCTCCGCTGTGGGCCGAAGGAAGGAAACGGCCGCTCGGCGCTTTGGTGCCGCGGGGATGCGCTTCGCCGTCCTGCTGCTTTTGTTGGGCGACTCGAAGGAAGAGCGGAGGTTTCGACCGCGGGTGGAAGCGGGCGGTAGAAGGAAGCAGCGATTGAGACCGAAGTGAAGAAAGACCGATTGGGAAAAACCAGGGTACCCTCTTCTTCCCACTCGAGACAGCGGAGGCAGCCCTTGGGAGGCTTCTCCCGGCTCAGATAAGAACTGACTTCTCCAAACACTGACCCAAAAGCCTTGAGCCAACCGGCTGCCTGGTTCCTCCGAGCGTTTCATCCGCCTAGCTTGGTTTAAGGGTGGTTTTTAAGCCATCAATCTTGGGGCTTGTTCCCGCAGTTCCCACCCATTAAGGATGAAGGCTAGGCTAAGGGTGAGAGTTATGAGAACTGAAGGCTAACATACCCGCAAAGCAGCTGGTGGAGGGGTCGGAGGAGAGATAGGGTGATAGATAGATAGATAGATAGATAGATAGATAGATAGATAGATAGATAGATAGAGGATAGAGGATAGATAGATAGATAGATAGATAGATAGATAGATGATAGATAGATAGATAGATAGATAGATAGATAGATAGATAGATAGATAGATAGAGGATAGAGGATAGATGATAGATAGATAGATAGATGATAGACAGATAGATGATAGATGATAGAGATAGATAGATGATAGATAGATGAGATAGATGATAGATAGATAGATAGATAGATAGATGATAGATAGATGATAGATAGATGATAGATAGATAGATGATAGATAGATAGATGATAGATAGATAGATAGATTAGATAGATAGATGATAGAAGCATGAAATTTGGCCTCTTTTTATTATTGCTCTACATGGGAACCCAACACTTCTGGAGGGCAACCAAGCTGAAAAGGGGAGAGGAGGATTTAGCTGTAGCCCTTCCTTTGACATATTCAGAATAATTTTTCAGTGCCGGATGGCTGGTGGCTATGCAGAATTTCATCTATCCGTGCATTAATCCTGTTCCTAAACTCATAGGCACCATTTCAAAAATCAACTCTTGTATGTGAAGCTCGAGATATCAGGTGTTTTTTCTCCTTCCACCATTCTTTCTTGCTTTCCATGGGTGCTTGAAAAAGGCTAAACTGGAATTGGTGGGATTTACCTTTGTTTGGCAACTGTAGCATCATTACCTAAGATTAATGACCTCTTTTACAATGACAAGAAAATGAAGAAGTGGTGGAAGGATGCTAGTGAGCCAGTTTTTCTATTAATCTGTGATTATTGTGTGATATTAGCTCCTGTGCAGGCTCCCTGTTTGCAAAGTGTGATTGTGAGGTATGTTCACACATGGCATTACATCATAATGTGGCTGATGTGGGTTTGGCATAATGTTGCATATACATTATTTGGGTTTGTAAAACCCAAATTATGGTGTAAAGCAACGCCTGAACTAGATCATTCTCTTTGCATGTGTATGTCTGGTGGGAGATGGCGAGTTCTTTTCTGTTAATTACATTGTTGGAAATTGTTTACTTTGGAGATTATTTTTGAATCTTCTTGCCTGAAATATGAACCATTGTTTTTAACAGTTAATCTCCAAAGGTCAGGGTGTAGACTTGGGTTAAAAGTATCAGTCAACCTTGGTTATGAGCAAACATAACAGGTTTTCTATGAAAATTTTGTGATAGTAAGTTCATTTTTTTGACAATTGCTGGTATGGCCTAAACATTAATTAGCAACATACAGCAGAATAACCGGAATCTAAGGAAATATTGTAAAGGCAGAAAGCCAAAGGCCAGACCTTCATAAGAATTGTAGGCTTACCTGTATAAATACTATTGTTTGCTTTCTCTAATACTGCTTATAGCTAAGCTTTATAGATGTCCAGTGAAATTTCAAAAATAAGGTATAAGTATCGCTGAATAAATTTGGACATCCTCCTAGAAGAAAATGAGGAAAGATATGATATCATAATCAAAATATTTGTTTGACTGAAGCAAATTGTTTTGTTTTTCTTAAAAGATACAAGATGTTAATTTCTACCAATATTCAGTGCCAGTTTGATGTTCACTGTGTTGTTAGAGTTGTCTCAGAGGCTTCTCAGGAACATGCAGGCCCTGAGGTAATGAAGTGTATTCTACTTTAATAATGCATTGCATTGATTTTTTTCCTCTCACTGTAGTATTGGTTTAGTTTTACAGCTGTTTACCCGATTTTACATTCTTTGTCTCCATTTCAAACTGTAAAAAAAAAGTAATAAAATATAGTCTATTTTTAAAAAAAGGTGCTTGTCAGAGTTAAGACATTAGAACTAAGACAATGAACTTAAGAAAAAGTACTAATTTTCTAACACTAGTCACTTCTCTAAGAATAAGGTCCCCACAAAACTCAAAAGGCTTTGATTCTGAATTTGTATGTGAAGATTGTAGGACAAATTAATTAACAATGCAAATTTGAATAACGGAGCTGATAAATTTAGTTAAATAGCCAGCAATAAAATGTACATTGTTATTATGACTTTCAAATTCCTTTTTTTTCAAGATAGGGGAAAAAGTAATCTCTTTCTATTAGGATCATAAATTGTCAATAATCTGTGACATCATTGAGCCATATACTATGATATATATACAGATGTGAAATTCCCTGAGTTTCTATACATTTTTAAAGAAAAATAAATAAATAAGAAAAGTTTTCTATTGGTTTAAATTTCCAAAACTAAAATAAAATTTAATTTCATATCTGTATAAGCAGCAATTTCCAATATCTATTCCAATACGGAATACAAGCTGAACCAATTTGCAGGTGATTAATTGATTCACATCTGGTAATCTCTGCATTCTAGTAAAGACAGATATATTCCAAAACCAAAATCTCATCTTCAGTAAATCAAATTATATTGAGATATTGAAGAAAAACTGGGGAGACCTGTGTTAATTCTGGCCTCAGCTGTATAAAGTCTCTCAGTGATTCTAGACCAGACAATCTTTTTCAAGCCAAATCATCTCACAGAGGTGGTATCGTGAGGATAAAATGAAGCGACATCCTAGAGCTACTATTTAATATCTGAAAGTCCTATCTTTTACCCATAACAGGTACTATCTAAAATTGCAGATGCAAAAGATCCCAGTTTTTCTGCAATCAGTCCATCTCACTGTTTCTCAAATATCCCATATTTCTCTCTGTATTTCACAATTATTAACTGGAACAAAGTAGTAGTCTAACATAGTTAGTGCTATCTTAGCATAAGAATCAAACTTTTGCTGATGCAATTTCATGCTCAGGTTCAGATAACGTTTTACTAAATGTTGAATATTGGATAATAGATTTAGTGACTCCTACAGTATCTTATATAAATATTTGGGATATGTACTTTGCTAATTAGCACTAGGCAAGTATTCAGCTGATGTGTGAAAGCATATTTTCTAAAATTGTTAAAATAGCGGAATCTGTACAAAGCTTGCGTGGATGCTTCAGGAGCTATCTGTACATGTTCAGCTACCTTACTGAAAACAAATCCACTGCCTCAGTGGAACCCTGGAGAGGGAAGAACACTTGCCTCTGATCACCCTTAGATCTGTTTGGATGAGTGCCTGGTGAGAGCAGGAGCGTGTATGGATAGGCCAGGAGATCTGCTGAGTGCTGTAGGCAGAAGCTATTCTGAGTAGGTACCCCTTGATGGAGCAGGTAAGTAGACTTCTGGATGATTGGGAATCGGTCCCTAGCCTGGGGGTGGATATGGAAAATGAGGGGTGTGCCTTCTTTGCCCATGTTATATCTTTGCTCCACAAGCTGCAGTAGCTTCCAGTTTGCTTCCACATGTAATTCAAGGTGTTGGTTATTACCTGACAAAAGCCTACATGACATCATGGTATTTGCGGGACCATCTTACTCCTATCATTATACATCCCCTTAGATTGGGCAGGAGGGTCAGATCAGAATTAGCTCATTATTGTAAACTTTTCTTTGGTTTCATAACACTGAATATACAAATGAATTTTGTAAAGTTTCAGTATAAGATATATTGCCTTCATATTTCATTGGTTTAATATTTCAATTTTAGGAAGTTTCATTCAATCCTTTAATTTTCAATAAAAATTAGTTACATAGGATGTATATGTGGCAAATCTGTTCATTTGATTCCATACATTTAAATGTATTAGTAATAGGCATCCATTCTTATAATGTGAAAATGGCAAATTATTGTAAAAAATAAAAATGTATGTGATAATTTTTTCCCATTTCTTATTTCTTTTTGGTAATATTCCTGTTTTCCAAAAAATTCTCTTCCCACCCATAGGGGTAGTATATGTCTTCCTCAATCTCGAATTTCTACCTGAGGCCGAAGAGTTGAGGGTTCTACACAATTATTTTAGATATTCCTAGCACTGCACTCTTCTGGACAGAGAGCTCTGATGTGGTTCCTGGGATCTGTTAGAACCACTTTTTCAATTTTGGCATCACAGCCCAAATGTTCCTACCATCACTGGGACCTCCTTGGCCTTTACTTTCCACATCCTCTTTTTCAGTGGGCCAGAGGGGATGTGGTTTCATGTGCTGCCTGCATTTTGTTTATAGGGCTTCACTTGTTTCTGCAGCCTGGTTTCGGTCATGCTGTGGCCCGGTGCCGGTCCATGGACCGAGGGTTGAGGACCTCTGCTTTATGAGCTTTAAACTCCTTTTAAACCTTTGTGTTGTACTTAAAAATGAACAATAACTGTTACAAAAATGTCCAACTTCAATCTGTAAACATGTTTAAGCACTGTCGGTTAATGTCTACAAATTCTCCCTTGCTTTGAGTTTGCCTTTCATATGTGTCCAAATAGAATAATTTGGATCTGTCTATTTAAATTGATGTATTCATGCTGGGTGTGTTATTTTGTTTGAATTGCAGACCCATCTGTGAGGTTGGAAGCAAATTATCTATCTCTGTGTGAGAGCTTGGACAAGGGAAAGAACGTATTCAAAATTGATAAAAGGATTTGTATGGGGTTCAAAGCGGAGCCAAATTTGAAGTAATATCCCTGAACCTGAATAGATGGCTCTTCAGCTTCATTCCCCTGCTTTCAATATTTCTCCAGTAGAAGCTAAGAAACTGTGTCTGAATGGAACACCCTGGATTTGGCATCTTCTTGAAGAATGTGTCAGGAATGCATGGGAATACTGGAGCATTCTGCTGGGACTGATCTCCATTGCCTGCTTTCTGTTTGCTGCACTGCCGTGAGTTTAAACCTTTAAGTATTTTTCAGCTTCATACATGAGCAATCTTGCCTGAGGCTTTACTCAGAAATTGCCAGTTTGGTTTATTCTTTGATGGATTTCTGTTCCTTTCTACATATTATAAATAGATAAGCCAGAGCAGCATGTTTCTTCTGTTTAAAGTATTCTGTGATGGTTGATAAATTAGTTGGTTATATTCTATTGTGGCGGTGTCTTGAAAACACCAATGTATGTCATCGGAAGCGCCTTCCTACAAGAGTAGTGGGTGCGATGTTTCCTTCTGCTTTATCTTGGAGGAAAAATGGATACACAACTGTTTCTTTGAAAAAAATCAAGAAATAACCATTCTTGGCATATGTGGGATGCATTACTCTGTATTCCCTGGGGCTCTTTCTGGACTCAGTTCCATGTTAGGCTTATGTGTGTTTTGAGCGAAAAACATCCACAATGGGCTGAGCCAGAATAATCAATAGGTCAATGTTTTCTCAGTCATGAAATCCTAGTGAATAATCCCTTAACCTCCATTCTTTGTTCATAGAAAGCCATTATGATGTAGTGGTTAAGGGAATGGACTAGAAATTGGAAGACCCAAGTTCTAGTCCTTCCTTCGTCATGGAAGCCAACTGGCGACCTTGGAGCCAGTCACTATCTCTCAGATCTAAACAGCATAATACGCTGATATCTTTGCTATATGAAGGAAGTGAGTGCAGTGCAAAACAAGTGGATTTTGCCATGAAATGGAACAGATGCCAAGAGGAACAAATTCATTCCTTGCTTGTACAATTGGATACGGGTAGTCCTCGATATATGACTACAGTTGAAATTGGAACTTCTGTCGCTAAACAATACAATTGTTAAATGAATAGAACCTGATTCTACAATCGTTTTGGCACAGTTGTTAAAGCAAATCACTGCAGTTGTTGAGCCAACTGTCAAGTGCTCAGATTTTGATTAGGTGACACTGGGATGGTCATAAGTGGGAAGGCCAATCATAAGTCACTTCTTTTCAGTGCCGTAAGTTTGAACGGTTCTTAAATGAGTCATAAGTCAAGGACTTTCCTGTACTACTAATTGTCTTCACAGATTAATTAATAAACTGTGAGAGAAGGTTTTTCTTGTATTCTAAAAATAATTACAGTCAATATTATATGGTTCTATTCAGTTCTATTTCAGAGAACTTGTTCCTTTTCTTCTGTATACTTCCTTTATCTTTGCTTTTATCCAAGTTGACTGAGATGCATTTTATGAACTCTTGAGTTGCTGGACAGTTCCATTGTTTTTTTCCCTCCCCAGTCAACTCTATGTAGCCTACCAGAATGGAAAAGTGGAGCAAGCACTTTCCTTGGGTTTTCTGCTGTGCTGGCTTGCAGGAGACCTCACCAATTTTATTGGCTGCTATTTGACAAATCAACTTCCAATACAGGTAAATTTCACTAGAGTTTTAGTTTTTTACACTTGACAGTGGCTAATATTTATAAATATGCACTTTGGAATGTTCTTTTTATTGAATCTTCTCTAAAAGAAAATAACAAGACTGAGTGAGTGAGTGAGCAAAACTTTTGGCATGTATATTATTATATGTTCTATAAATTGATATATGAAATTAGGCTTGATTTTTTTTACTCTTTTCCAGACTGTAACGGCAATTTTTTATATTAACATGGACATAATTGTGATATCTCAGTTTTTCTACTATAAGTTAAAAAATCAGAAGATAACAAAATGTAAGTATTTTCAATTGAGATCTTTGTAGTAGAGGGTAATGTCTTCAATATTTATATGCGGCATTTAAAACTGCCCAAACTATGCAAATTTAAATGGCACGATGGAGTTACAGGGTAAGATTAAGATTGTTGCATTTAGAATTCTGTAATTTTAGAATGGTGTACGTGAAACATCAGCAGGAAAAAAAGATGAAGCTAAAAGCTTGAATAACGCATCACTAACCTGGTTGCTGAAGGATATTTTGCTGTAGTTGGCAAGTTACAGAATGAATTTGTTCACATTGTTCACAGTAACAGCTATATGTACTAGCCAACAAAAAGGAAGTATAAAATACATCATATTCCATTAGGGCAGTAATGGCTCACCTTTTTACTGTCATGTGCCAAAAGCATGGGGAGCATGGGGGGGTCACGCACGCGCATGCCCACACCCATAGTTCAATGCCCCCCTGTCCCACCCCCACATGCACGTGCGACCCGCCCCCCGCACTCCCCTCGCTTTTGTCATGCAATGGCAAAAAGATTACTGGTGGGCCTGGTAGGTCCATTTTTTGCCCTCCCCAGGCTTCAGAGGCTTTCTTGGAGCCTGGGGAGAGCAAAAACTGCTTCCCCCTCCCCGGAGGCCATCCAGAGGCTGGAAATGGCCCATTTCCTGACTTCCAGTGGGCCCGGAAGGCCCGAAAATCAGCTGGCCGGCACATGCATGCACACTGGAGCTGAGCTAGGGCAATGCTCGCATGCCCACAGGTGCCATAGGTTCCCCATCACAGTATTAGTGCAATACATTTAACATTATTTGTGATCTTACTTCGTTTCAATGGCATAAGGGCAGGTACTCTTATATTCCATAAGGATATAAGAGTGAGGTGTAATCCCCAAAGGTCCCTCTGTGACACATTGATTGTTCTGAAAGGTGTGTATTAGGGATATATTTTTTATCCCCTCTATTTTGAACATATACATCAATTCAGTGGTAGACCTTTTTCATAACCTGGACTTCTAAACTACGAGGTGCAAAATCCCTATAGTCCTCCATGCTGAGGAAACTACCGTAATTTCGTAAAACCCATGTAGGATTGAAAAGAACAATGATAGCAATATTATGGTACTGCAGATAAAATCAATTGGTTGTAAATTCTGAGAGATCTAAAATTCTGGTCTTTGCTAGAGCTATTCAACTATCATGGACGTTGTAGCCCATATTTCATTTACTATATTTTTCGGAGTATAAGACGCACCTACCTTTTTTGGTGAGGAAAAGAAGAAAAAGAAATCTGCCTCTGCCTCTGCCTCTGCCTCTGCCTCTGCCTCTGCCTCTGCCTCTGAGCAATTTTGCCTTGTTGCAGCAAACAGCAAACAGCCTGCTTTACTTTCAGTTTTGTTTTCAGCATAGCTTGATTAGCACACAGAAAAAAAAATCTGCTCCAGCAATTTACCTCTTTGCAGCAAGCAGCAGAGGCCTGCGCAAAACAGCTGAGAGCAAATTAGCTGAGAGTCGGGAGGCTGATCCAATCAACTTGTGGTAATTAGGCTGTGCTGAAGCTTACTTTACTTTACTTTACTTTTATTAGACTTCTATACCGCCCTTCTCCCGAAGGACTCAGGGCGGTGTACAGCCATATTAAAACACATAAAATTTACAAAAATTTAAAAACCATTAAAATCAAATATACAAAAATTTGTCCCACAAATTAAAAAAACTTACATACACCCATTAAAATTCATATTCATGTTAGGCCAGCCCGGCTTGTTGAAACAAGAGAGTCTTCAGGGCGCGGCGAAAGGTGCGCAGGTTGGGGATCATACACACATCTAGGGGCAGCTCGTTCCAGAGGGTTGGTGCCCCCACAGAAGGCTCTCCCCCTGGGCGTCGCTAGTCGACATTGTTTGGCCGACAGCAAAAAAACAGCTGAAAGCTGTTTTTTCTTGCTGTTTGCTTGCAAAGAGGTAACTGCTGCGAGGCAGAGGCCAAAGGGTGGGGGCCAGTGGGTGGGCGGGGCTACATTTGGTGTATAAGATGCACCTAAATTTTCACTCCCTTTTAGGCGGAAAAAAGGTGTGTTTTATACTCCGAAAAGTAGGGTAAATACTTTGCAGTGGTTTTCCATTTTAAAGGCACCTGGAATGAGCACCAGAATTAAGCAACGTAGCTAACCCCTTAGATCTTCAATTACTAGAAAGTGCCTTTTGTAGGTAAGGAGAGACCAATTCATTATGCAGCATTCAATCTTTTTGAGGCCAGTTCAAGGGCCTAAAACGTTTACAGTGCACAAGTGGGAATTTAGGTAAAGAAGGATGCACTGAAATCAGTGCAAACAAAATTCTTGAAATCAATCCTTGCTGCCCTCAATGGAACAGCAAACACCCAGTTAAGGCTTAAGATAGGAATGCCCATAATCTAGGTTAAGGGCATGAAGGAAGTGGGTGAATTAATTCCTGAAAATCCAATTCTTCCCAGCTGGGCTGATCCATTTACTTTTAATGATTAATTTTCCTTCATCCTGGAAATAGGTTGCCAAGCAGAGGTTGGAATTGTGCAGGTTTTCCAGAATATTCCTGATTTCTTTAGGATATGACCAAGTAAAGGATATATAGGGTATGAAGAAGCTAAAGTTAATAGGTTGCCCCAATATGACAGAAATTGGTACAACAAAGAGGCTTGGGAAGAAGCAAAATACTTACAAAATCTTAACTTTTCCTGGGTTGAGGATAGCATTTTTCCAAACCAGAAATATTTTACCATCCGCATTGGTGCTAGGCAGATACTTCAAAACTCCATTAACCAAGCATACCTGTCATTTGATTACAAGGAATTCAAACCTATTTTTCATGTATTATCACACTATAAATTCTGTAGGGAGTTGAGGCCTTCTTATATTCTTCCCCTAATATTTAAATTCCAAGGAAGGCCAGATAATTTGTATCTGAATCATCTGGAAGATTCAGAATCCTTGATTACTTGGTCAGTAGCCAAATTTTGAGTTCCGCAATGGAAATAAAGCAAAACTGGTCCCTGGGATAACCACTTTTATTTTATTTATCACTTTTAGGTTATGTGTTTTTATTTCATATATTGCAGTATTTTAAATTTACATCTGCACAGTTAATTAACATATAATTATAGTAGCTTATCTTATATCTTTTCAACCTCTTGTTATGTTGGTATTTTATTTCATCCATTCAATTTTACTTTTGTGTTGTATATTTTAAAATCTTACTAGACATTGACCAAATAAACATTATTGGTACTACATAGGGCTATTGCAAAATTTATCCTGCAAGATCATTGATGATAAAACAGTTTACTCAATATAAAAACACCCTGCTACTCATGTGTATTAGAATAGTACCATTTATATTGCAAAGAGTTTTTTTTAAGCAATCAAATACTTTGTTTGCCCTATTTTTCATTTGTCTTTCAAAGGCGGAATGAATATGAAGTATTCTTGTATAGCGTGGGTCATGCTATGCTTACTACTATGTTTAATCTTACCTACTCAGCTGTTGATGAGAAATAAAGTCCAGAATACTATTTTGGGATCCAATGAGGTAAATCCTTGTTTTAAATTACTGTCAAATATCCATGTAGATACATTAGGCAAGATGACAACTGATTTCCCAAAATGAAAGCAGAAACAAAACCCTACACAGAAATGGAGTTAGTTAATACTCAGATGGGATATAGATGTGGAAGAAGATAGCAGCAAATCTTTTTTATATTTTGCAAAGAAAACCATGCAGATATATCAATATATTACTCAGAAGATGAATTCTACTTGAGGGCGTCCTTATCTTAATATTTATAAACTATAAGATATTTCTAAAGATTCTAAAGATATTTCTAAAGATTCTAAAGAGTAACAAACTCAAATTATATAGAAAATATCTACTATCCCCAATGTTTGGAATACTCTGTTTTCAATTTAGACAAGGATTTCCATGTTCACTGTTTTAGTACATAGCATACTATTAACAAGTTATTTTTGAATTTCCTTCTGCAAATGTTAATAGTTTTCTATTTTTAACTCCTCAGAAGTCTCATGGCATGGTTGAAATATCAGGCTTTGTTTGTGGCTATTTATCGTGTGTGTTTTACTTGGGATCTAGAATTCCTCAGCTCTATAAAAATGTAAGTTTATTGGTTCTGAAGATAATGTGCCTACTTATAACATTCATAGATAAAGTGAATGATCAATTACAATCTCACTTCTAAAATCACCCCTATAGACTAGGATTGTCAAACTGGATTTCTTTGAGGGCTGGATCAGCATTATAGTTCTCCAAGGGGCCAGCCAGGGGGTGGGGAGAGGGGACGGATGCCTCCTGCAGCACTTTGCCAGCCAAAACAGGGTGTGGGGGCACAAGCGCCCCCGCACCCCTTTTTGGCCAGCAGAGTGCTGCAGGAGGTGTCCAGGCTGAAAACGGGATGGAGGGGCATGCATCCCCCCACGCCCCATTTTGGCTGGCAGAGGCACCGTGGGCCAGTCCCTTGCTATTTCCAGGCCAGCCCTGTGGGCCAGATTTAAGCAGCCTGCGGGCCGCATGTGGCCCGTGGGCCTTGGGTTTGACACCAATACTATAGACTATGTCACACATATTATCTGCTAGAAAATACATATCCAAAATTATGACTTCATCTATTTGCAATTGAAATATGATACTCTTAAAAGTTCAGTAAACAAAGCAATTAGCATGGAAATATTGGTTGAATTATGTGTAAAATAAGCTGAATTTTCTAAATGCTTACAGCTTTAACAGCGGACTTCTATTGCATTTAGATTCAGTTTATCGAGAACAAGGTTAGATTTCACTGATTAAGAAGAAACAGGACTGGAATAATTAAAGTAATTTCTTCAGTATCCAAAAATCCCTGATAGTTTTAATACAACTCATTATTTGTGTTGAGCCATTAAAAAATTCCTGAAATTAAAGATTTTAAGATTCTAGATCTGCATTTGAGATTAATCTTAAATATTTTTTTATAAATGGAGTCTTTCCAAAAAAAAACAAAACACATTGTAATGTTGAGTGCTTTTATTCAAGATTTAAGTTTCTCACTCATCTTTTCAATACTATCCCAGTTTTCCATACTTTTAATGAACACTAATTTATCGATGCTATATATTGAATAATAAAAGATAATTCCAATTGGTGGTTTCTTTTTTAATTTTGGATGATTTAAGGGAGGATACACTGGACTCCAACTTCATCTCTGTCCAATTTCATCATATTTGATGTGTTCTAATCTTTGTGGAACTGAGGACAACATGAATTCAAAAGCTTACAATGGTCACGAAACAGTTATTTCAGATACATAATGAATTACTTATAACACTGCTTTGCTATATTATCCTTTAGTTCCAAAGAAGATCGACAGATGGGACATCTTATATTTTGTTTGCATTAGCCATGATAGGCAATGGCACATATGGCCTGAGTCTTCTCTTAAAGATGCCTGCAACACAATATCTTATAAGTCTTTATTTCTGGCATCATCTTCCTTGGTTTATTGGGAGCTTTGGAGTATTATTACTAGATATTTTTGTATCCTTTTCTAATGAAAATTGATAATTCTGAATTAAATTAATAGGACTTTGTTGTCAAATGATAAAGTAATAGTTATTTATCTGAAATATTTTCAGGGTTTTATATGTAATAGTAATTGATAAGGAGGACTGCTGGTTTTCTTCATCAGATTTCTGATCAGTTGGCATAAGTTTTATTGTTGTTACAGAACAGAATATGTAAGAATATGTACCATGTTTTCCCAAAAATAAGACCTTGTTTTATATTTTTTCAATCCCAAAATAAGTGCTTGGGCTTATTTTTGGGGATGTCTTATTATTTTGGGGTGCGTGGAGCAAGACGGGGCTCCTCTTGCCATCTTACATGATTTCCAGCTCTGTCTCCCTAACCCTAATCAGAGGAAATGGCGGGGACCAGCTGCGCATGTAGTTAAATATTTTTGGGGAGGGCTTATTTTTGGGGAGGGCTTATTTTCAAGGGGATTTATTTTAGCACATGCGTTCAAAAGCCCAATTGGGCTTATTATCAGGAGATGTCTTATTTTAGGGGAAAACAAGGTATGTAGTGATTTTAATTAAGATGATAACTTGATTTTATATATAGGTTGAATCTGCTAATCTTTGAGTTAAAATAATTGTTTGTATCCTATACTGTAACAATAAAATCAAAAATAACAATTCTGGGGAAGTAAGCCTAAGTCCTTATTAAATTATAAAACCTGGGTGAATTCATTTCCATATTCATATATTTTCATTGTCTCTCTAATTTAACGACTTAAAAAAATTCTTATAGTAAATGTTTATTTGACTTTGGTGATTCACATCTCCTTAGGAACTTTTAGTAACATTTCATTATTTAGGGTTTATCCCTAAATAGTCCTGCATTTACTTGGAAGACCATACCTGAACAATTTCTGAATGAAATTTTAATAATATAGTGTGGTTCTGCAAATTAGCTTTATTCTAACATTTGTATCCTTAGATTTAAGCTCCCTTATTACATAAATCTAGCATAATACAAAAAACTAATGTCTTGAGTGCTGAATCCCTAGCTTGTAATTTATAAGTAAAATGTTTAAAACATAATTTAATATTCAAACTGTTTTTCCCTTTCCGATTGTCTTAATCCTTCATAAAATAACTATCAATGCTTACTGATAGTTATAATGCATTTTTCTTGTAGTCCACACTGTAATTGTTATATTCTAGCAGATGGTAGCAGGTAATTTTGTTCAGTTCATCCTTCTTGTTGCAATAATTTCTTTCTCATAGCAAGGCAATAAAAGGAGTTTGTTCTTTCATTTTGCAAAAAAACCCAAAACCCCACTTAATGGAAAGAAGTTTACTGAAGTATCATATCCTTCCCTCCTCTAGGCTATTTTGGGAACTGTTAATATAGAAATTAGGTGGCTATGTTTAAGCAAGAAGTATCAAAAAGACATGAAGCTATATAGGTAGTCCTCGACTTACAACAGTTTGTTTAGTGACCATTCAACGTCACAATGGCACTGAAAACAATGGCACTGAAAACAGTGATTTAGGATTTTTCACACTTACGACCGTTGCAGCATCCCCATGGTCACATAATCAAAATTCAGATGCTTGGCAACTGATTCATATTTATGACCGTTGCAGTGTCCCAGGGTCATGTGATCCCCTTGTGCGACCTTGAGCCAAGCAAAGTTAATGGGAAAGCTAGATTCACTTAACAACTAACTTAACAACTGCAGTGATTCACTTAACAGCTGTGTCAAGAAAGGTCATAAAATGGGGCAGAACTCACAGTCTCACTTAGCAACAGAAATTTTGGGCTCAATTGTGATTGTAAGTCAAGGACTACCTGTATATTTCCCAATGATGTATGTTTCACAATATTTTTATTTCAAAGCAGAAATGAAACATTCGCCCCTCTCCCATGTGTATGTGTATGTCTGTCTGTTTCTCTCTTATCTTCATACAGTTATCTACAGCTCTGGAAGCAAGGAACATTTTCTTGTCCAGCTCCCAGAAGGGATAAGCAATTTATATGTGAATTTGTTTTTCTAAATTTCTAAATTTCTTTTTTAAAATATTAAGGGTCATGCATATCTCATGTGTTCATATTATTTCTACAGTGTTTTGTAACAAACTGATTTCACCAATAAATAAATGGTAAGAGTAAAATGGTAAGAGCCTTGGTGGCGCAGCAGACTAAAGCACTGTTAAGTAAACCAGCTGCCTGCAATTACTGCAAGTTCAAATCTCACCAGGCTCAAGGTTGGCTCAGCCTTCCATCCTTTCGAGGTAGGTAAAATGAGGACCCGGTTTGTGGGGGCAATAAGCTGACTTTGTATAAAAAAGAACACCGCTTTTGGGGGGGCGGCGAAAGCCCTACTAAGCAGGTATATACAAAAGTATGAAGGCTATTGCTTAACGCATTGTAAGCCGCCCTGAGTCTCCGGAAAAGGGCAGCATATAAATCGAACCAACAAATAAATAAATAAATAAATAATTTGTTTGATTTCTCTTAAATTATGCCATGTTCATTTTCAAGTAGTTTTTGTTTGACCTCAATAATATTTCTCTTAACTGTACATCCAGATAACTGCACAATTTATTATATACAGACCACAAAACAAGAGACTTGCTTCAGTGGCCTTGGAGGTGGAACCCTTGCTCATAAATGAAGATTCTTAATGTGCACATTTCTTTGGTCTCACATTCTTTTAGAATAACTTGGATCTGTAGTTAACTATCTTGTTGACTTGCATAGAATAGATCAGTTCTGGATCCCTGCCAGTGTATTCATTCTAAAGCCTTAAAGATTTTTTTATAAGCAGAGAATGATGTTAATTAGGTTCTTAAACTATTGCCAGATTATTAACATTAATCTTAAATCTGATTTATGATTAATCTTAAATTATTGCAAAAAGTAATGAAGCCAAAATGAAGTTTCAGGATGAATACATTGCTTGGATTTTAAGAATTGTATTTCTTAGATATTATCTAATTTTTGGAATATTGGATACCAGTTATTGTTACTTCCTTTTTTCTTGGTGTTAATTGTTAAAGAAATTTACAGTTGCATATATATATATTTCTTGATAATTTATACAATGTAATGCATATGAAACATGGCCAATGTAATATTGTTTGCTAAAACTCTTCCAATACTGTATTCCCGCCCCCCTTTGTTTTGCTGAACAATCAAACATAGGAAGAATGGAAAGAAACCATCATGGTAACTCTTTTTGGAGTTAGCATTTCATAATGATTTTTAGATGGATAACCACATTTCACAGTAATAGTGCACTGAAAGTCCAAATCTCGCATGAAATTAAGAACAGCTTACCGCAGGAATAGAAAATCTTTCTGTTGAGGCTTACAGCAACATCCATCCATGGAGAATGTTTTGGAAGCAACATGCTGGCAGGCAGCAAGGCTGAAGAACTCCATGCGCTCCATCTCTGTCAGTACTTATTCCTCACTCTTACGGATCCTCCTGCCAATATCTGAACAATGGGGATAAAGATGCTCTGCTCGGTATTTTGAAATGAGACTTGCAGCTTGACTCCATATTTTTGAGTGCAAATATCAATTTTAGTTCCACATGTGCTTATTTTAAAGCCCTGCTAAAAGAATTACAATATGCTTTGGAGTCATCCCAGCATCATGTTGAAAAAGCATATTCTTTCTGTTGAGGTTTAATTTCAAAATTTGCTAGCTGTTATCAGTTGCCATTTAAAAGCTTAGCAAGTTTTGAACTGTGGTTTGCTGTAGCTGGTCCCTCTGGATGGTTGCCTTGCTTCCAATCCTAATGAGATTCTTAGGTTTTATTATGTATCACTGATGAGGGCAGAATTAAGTACAGAGGGATGTTTGAGTCAACTTTTTAAAAGAATTAATTAATTGAGCAGCATGGAATGTGGTGATACTGCCAAATTTTATGTTTCTGTGTGCATTGTGTATAAAAACATTGTTTCTTTTGATTAACATTGAATTTTAATTTAATAATTAACTAAGCACATCTACATACTTGAAGTTCAGAGTCTGTAAGATGGCAGGATAGAGAAAAAAAGGAGACTCTTGAGTTTGACTATCTTGCCTTTGGGCATCTCTGCTGTAATGGGAAAAGATCTTTTTAATAAGTTAAACATATTCAGGTGCATATTAAACTTTTTATTTTCACTTCAGATTGGTTTTTTCAATTGAATTGTTAATAATTTGTTGGACTTTATATTTAGATTTGTTATAAAACCCTTTTGGACAAAATAATAGTGCAAGTCTTTACCTTGCAGAGTTTATCTTGGTTTATCCTGGCTTTCTAATCAAAACAGTAGAAGTATTTTCTTAGTAAATTAATATCCAAAAAATATTTTAAAATTGTTCTGTCCATGTTCGTTTAAGTTAAATGTCGTTTACATTTAACCTTCATAAATCCTGTTTTTATTTGTTCAGTATTTCATCATCATATTATGCAAGGTTTTTTTTTTTTGACAAACACAACCTTTCTTTGTTTCTTACTAGCCTCTGCCTTCAGTCAAAGAACATGCTTGGAGGTTTCCAACCCAGTTACACCAGACTAAAAAATAAAATAAAATAAAAGAGATCATTACTACATGTTGAAAACTGATTTCTTCCTTATTTCCCAAACCTCAACTTTATGTTAAATATAAATAGAAATCACCTGAAGGAACATCACCATCACCATGACATCCCAAATATTGATTAGATAGTACCTTTCAGTCTTTTTCTGGAAGTTAATATTACCCATCCCTGAAGAAACTATGAGGTCTTCCTTTATCCTTGAGCTGTTGGCAAAGTCAAGAACATTCCCGCTGTGGATTCCCAGGGCGACTCTATTGTAGTTTTTAATATAAGGGCCAAATTTTATATATTTTAAATTGTTTTTAAGTTTTATGGTATATGTTTGTTTTAATATGGCTGTACACCGCCCTGAGTCCTTCGGGAGAAGGGCGGTATAAAAATTTAAGAAATGAAATGAAACCTGCTTTAGTCAGGTTTCAAATTCCTAGTAAGTTTGATTTAGATACTTACATGTTTTAGTTTAATCTTAAAGCATCTGACTTATTCCTTGGTTCTTTAATAAATATAGTCAATTGGAAATGGGGGATGATTTAATATTTGCCAAATGTATGTGACATTGTCAAAATGGCTGAGTACATGATTGTAAGGACAAGGAAGTTCCAGGAAAAGGAAATACTTCAAAACTGCTCTCAAACTGCACCAAACTCTTCCCTCTGTTGACAGAAAAATCTGTTCTGTCCCGTCCCATCCCATCCCATGCCAAGGCTTCAGATTCTGAATGGTTTCTTGGTTTACTGAGGGATCTAGGAGATATAGTAGTACAAGTGATGTCTGGACCATCGCTGGAAAAAGAAAAAAATAAATCTGATTTCAGCATAGTTTCAGGCGCAGATTCAGAGCTACTCCATAAAAAGCATTTTCTTATATATATCAGCGGTTGCTGCTCAGCAGATGTGTTTATGATGGCTAACTTCTCATTCCGGCCTGGACACTGATTCGTTCTTTACTGATATGATCACTCAGATTCACTGGAGTTGTGACTACATGGGCAAAGCCTAGGGTAATGCCTTGTTTGGTGAGGTCCTCTGGGATGCATTTTGGCCTACTCTGATGATGGAGAGGGTGCTTTCTCATCAGCGGGCTGGATCTTTGCCCTTCCTGGCTCTTTGGGCAGCTGGGAAGATGGTTGGTTCCTGGATCTGGATAATTGCTAGTGCCTTGCTGCAGAAAGAGACATTGCCCGTGGCCTTAAGGGACATCATGGTGCACTTTAACAGAGACTTACTAGAACCAAAAGTATTAAGAATCCACTGCCTGATCTCCAATCTTCCCAGTTTCTGAGAGCAAACCTAATATTGATAGTGAGCAAAGAATGAGCATCTGACTAAACTGTTGCTCAAATTGGACCCATGTGGCAACACTGGACTTCGGAAAAGTCTATTTCTGTACATGTCATTTTTTCAGTGGCTTAGTTAGCAACTGTTCTTGCCTTCTTCCCTAAATGCACAAGGGAAGGCAGGCAGTGGAAAGGGAAGGAGGCATTTCAGAGAAAGACAATTTTATTCAATCTGTCTTGGGGAGGAGGTGTGTTCTCCTGTGTCTACTGCAGTCCAGTGGGAGTTTTCAGAAAACGTATGTAGAAGCTAGAACTATCATATACTGTGCATCTCCATTCTGGAGGACCAGTAGATGGCAGCCAAGAAATGCAAAACCTGATCCAGATTCTTGTAGCCCAGAACTGCTAGTAGTCATACAGAACTAATGTGGATTTGTAAGTAAAGGGAGAGATTTAGAAAAGGGAGGAGAGAAAAAGTATTCTGAAAGTTGTGTGTGTCAGAGAAACATTTACTGGTTATCTGAATGTAAATCGAGGATTGTACCCTTTACCATCACTTAACACAGAGTTTTAGTCTCTGATAAACTAATATTTAGATCCAGTCTCTTTACTGCGTCATTCATCCAGTGTTTGCTGCAGATCATTTGGGTTGACAGGAAACAAATGTAAAGATTCATTGGGATACGTTCACATTTCAACCCATTTATCTTTTCTGACACCACAAGGGGGCACTACGTGTCCTCCCTGGATATGGTGAACCATTCACTAAGCATTTCATTAAACTCATGTAAACTTGTGCTGCTATCAGTTGCAACTCACCTTCATATATATTTGAAATATTTTCACACACACACACATATGGCATTTACTCAATAAAGTTTATCATTAAATCTGGTCCACATAGTAACATAATGCATTCTTGTCTCTTTTTTTAATGAACATATAGATAGTAAATATACTTGCAGATTTGCAATTGTCATATTGTTTGGACAGTTGTGAGCTTCTTGTTCATTTAGGAATTCACTGAAACTTTCTGGAACTAAATAGTTCCATATATCTGTTTGTTACGGAACTATTTGTTTTGTTTGGGGGGGGTCTTGGGGGGGAGAGGGTATAGACATTCAATCAAGAAGACAAAGCAATTGAATGTTTTGATGGCAAGGAAGTAGATGGGATTAAGATTAGGATTATTTTGGGAGGAGAACAGACCAAGCAGCAAAAGAAAGGTAGCATAGATCCACTTTCAAAAATTATACTGTTATTTTTTTGTTGTGTGTTTGCATGCAGACAATCCAGTGGAACAAAAAGCCAGTTTAATGCAAGCACAATTGTTAATGAAATTGCAACACAGTTGCAAAAGTGTCCATTTCATAAAATATTGCAATATGGACATACCATATGGCTACAGAAAGTTTCATACATTTCAGCAAGGCTTCCAAATGTTCTGCCTGGGCCTTCTCCTCCCCACCTGCAGGTCTTGGAATAGGGAGGTAAAAACCATACAATATCCCCATCTATAAATTCCTTGAAGAAAAAATCATTGGTAGTAAATAGAATAAATATTGGGAAAGGTGCCTATATAATAAAATAGAACTTCAGGGCAGGGAGAAGATTAGCAGAGAAAAAGTAACCAAGAGGAATACATTCATCAATACTTCCGAATATAAGAAGCATTTTGTAGAATAACAATTCAAGGTATGTTTATTTAGGAATAAGTCCCTACTGTGTTCAGTTGCACTTATCCTCAGATGCAACTGAACAGTAACCTTAAAATTGAATCTTTCTGGAGATTCTCAGTCATTCCATTCGTGGTTGCTCCAAGGGTGCTTTTTCAACAGGCAATTGGACTTTCTCTTTTTTCTTTGAAGATGTTTCGCTTTTTATCCAAGAAGCTTCTTCATCTCTTCAAAGAAAAACCAGAAAGTCCAGATGCCTCTTGAAAAAGCACTTTTGGGACTTAAAATAGAATGATTTTGTAGGTGCTCGGTGAAATTGTGCTTAGGTAGCATTTCTACACAATGATACAAAATGTTCTTATAACTGGAATCCTTCCCTTTTTCTTTTTCTTTTTTGTTTAAAAAAAGGATTCTGAAGTGCTGCCAGCAACATTATGACATCGTTGGAGTGACTGACTCCAAATTTGGGGACCAGTTATTATTTATTTATTTTATTTATTTTATTTAATTTATATACCGCCCTTCTCCCGAAGGACTCAGGGCAGGGAACAGCCATAATAAAAACAATGTACAAAATAGAATTTAAAAGCAGATTAAAATAATTAAATCATAGGCTGGATTTAAAACTCTCATTTTAAAACCAATTTTAAAACCCCATTAAAACCAAATTAAAATCATTTATCCCATCAGAGCGGCTTGCTGGAATAACAGGGTCTTCATTGCATGACGGAAGGCGCGGAAGTCGGGGATCCTTCGTATGTCCGGGGGTAATTCATTCCAGAGGGCAGGGCCCCCCACAGAGAAGGCTCTCCCCCTGGGGGTCACCAGTCTACATTGTTTGGCTGACGGCACCCTGAGGAGGCCCTCTCTGTGGGAGCGTATCGGTCGGTGGGAGGGAATCGGTGGCAGAATGCGGTCTTGTAGATAGCCAGGTCCTAAGCCACGGAGCACTTTAAAGGTGGTAACCAACACCTTGAAGCGCACCCGGAAGACCAAGTTATTGGAAGTTATGGGGGGGGTGTATTTTTAAAGGAAAGAATGGGTGCCTTACGAATGGATGCCTCTGGGCAGCTATTATTGCTCTTTAGGATCCTTTGGAAAGGAAAAAAAATGGGCTGAAAGTTTGGTGCTACATGTTTCATGACTGGGGGGATGGTCCCGCAAGCTACAGACTGGTCATGGGTAAATTCATGGGGTTTGTGTGGCTCCACAGGTGAGTTACATTCAGAATGCAGAAGTGAGAAGAAAGCATTTGCAAGGCAAAATCGGATGGTAGAAGGGCAGGGATTATTTTCCATCCTATCTAAAGACATCAGTTTATTTTTCCTTGCAAACACTTCCAAGTTGGATATAAACATTTGATGAGGTAACTCAGACTTTGGCCCTCCGCACTGGACTAACAGGAAATAAAACAGCAAATGCGTATTCAAATGCTTGAAGATTGTCATCTGAATTCATGAAAGACAAATAAAAACAGGGCATCCAATAGTAATGGAAATAAACAAAGCCTTTCCAACTTTGGCTGCTCTTTTCAACAACTGTCAGTAAATCAATATCTTTCAAGTTCTCCATGTTCCATTTGATTTCTGAAAGGCAAAAATCATCATTTAAAGTAGAAAAAAAATGTACTTTTTTTTTTTTTTTTGTCTCATCAGCAGATCTTGGCACCTGACATATTGAAAAGATTTCCGTGCATTGCTAAGGCAGACTTTTTGAAATTTGGAGAAAATGAACTTTTCAGAAATGGAAATGTCTGTTTTGATAATGTCTTTAAAACAGCTTGCATTACTTGACCCTTTCAAGTGAGCCCAGGGAGGATCTCTAGAGTAATTCTCAGACACCTTAGATGGCTCTAATCCTACTGAACTTAATTGGACTAAATCAGGGTAAGCTGTCTCCTGCTCAAAATTTCATTGTTCATTCACTTAGGAAGCTTATCAGTGTAACTGGTGAAGCTTTTTTCCCTCTCTAGTTCCACTCCTGGGACCTCGTTTGATAAGGGAGTTACAATAACTGCACGTTCATATATTTACCAGACTTCTTAACATGAATTGCACATTGGCAGATCTTCTCTAACAAAACCAATTAGGGTTATGCTGTACTTGTTTACTTAGGGTTTTATGTCATCTAAATATATTATGCAACTTTGTGGCAGGCCACAGTTTAGGTGATCAAACCCCCCCACCCTTTAAAAACAAATTATCCAGTCTTGTGTGAATATTGAATGAGATATTCGGAATTGCAACAGCATAAGGCTATTGTATTATTATATATTTGTCGCAGTTATATTAAGAGAACCTGTGCTGATAAATCAGCAGGATTATCACACAATTTTACTTATGACATGTACATTAAAATATAGCACTAAGCATTGCAGATAATAAGAAATTAATATTTTTATATATTTAAAAAAATTACATGAATGTCTTGTTATAATAATGTTGTCAACAGCTATTAATTTTCTGTTTGTAATATAACTACCACAACTGCTGAAGCTTCTGCTATATGAATAGGCATTTCTTTCATTTTATGTGGGGGAGGGGAATTGTATTGAATATAAGATATATAAGTTATTAATAGAATTTGTGTCTGAGAATATTTCTGGAGAATATTCACAGTTCTTTTCGTAATACTGCTCCATTTTGGCAACCAAAAAGTAAAATACTAGTATACATTTGTAAGAAGGAAAAACTTGTTTGAAATAGCATTGTATAATGGCAAGACAGGATAACTTCTCAAAGAAAAAGAAACCAGAAAAGTTAACGTTCTTGTTAATTCTCTCAGGTCCCATAATATTCTCTTTCCTATTTTAGCCTTACCTAGCCAGAAGGGATTGATGTAATCTGAAATATTCAGTAGTAGACCACGTTTTTCTAAGCTGCATTCATCAGGACATTTTGTAGTCTATTCATCTGCCAGTGGTTTCTGTGGGAATAGAGGGCTAAGATAAAACATCTTCCTAACTATTTCTAACCATAGGAAGAAGCAATCCAGCTTTTGATAAACTTGAGGAATTGAGTGACACCATCTAAGCAGCTGAGATCATGAGGTCAGTCCTTTGATCTCAGTTGACTTCATTTGTCCTCCCTTGACATCGTTACACAGACAAATCTGACCAGCAGTCAAATGCCACAAAGTCTTTTTATTCGCTGATGGTTGGCTGAGATTACTTTGCAAAGGAGAAATAAAACCAAAGTTCTCAGTTCTGCACTTTGGAGTTAAATCTCTAGCTTCTGACACTTCCTTCCTTCTGGATAGTTATTTTTAATGTCTGTCATCAATTATGAAATTATGTAATCCTAGACTTGTACGTTCTTAGAATTGATAGATGTTGATAGTATGTTCTTTGTTTTTCCTTTGCAAACTATAAATGAAAACTATCCCAAATCCTTGGTGGATGCACCCTGGTGCTGGATCCTTGGTGAACAGGGCAGTGTTTTTACTACAAACATTAGCGATTTAAACGGATTGGAGCATAGTTTCCCATCCAGCATTTGTATATGTTGGGTGCAGGGGGAAAAAAGTATTTTGATTAAGAGTGAACAGAAGAGGCAAACTAAAATTAGAATCCAGTTTTATAAAAATAGACAAATCTATAGGGGGGAAGAGAAACAGACTGAAGTATGGTAAGGCCAAAGAACATTTTCTAAGAGAGAAAGAGAGGGAGGGAGGGAGAGAGGGGGGAGGGAGGGGGGAGAGAGAGATGAGCTGACACCAGACCCAAATGGCAGACAGTCTTTATAGGACTACATGCCAAAATGACTGTTTTACTGACAAGCCAGAGAAAGAGAAGGCAAGCAAGGGAGAAGGAATCAGAAATGGGCACATATTCACTAGCTAGAACAATACTCTTATGCCCAACTGATGGCTTCTCCAAGGACAGAATAACTGATGGTCCTAGTATATGTGATCCTTTAGCATATCCATTTTTCTCCATAAAAGTTGCTGGGAAAAAGAAACAACAGATTCTTTTTTACTCAGAAATTATTTTGTGCAAATACTATTGCTTGGATTTAATTATTTTACAAACTACCATTGGCTGATTCAACCAACACTCCGTTATGACTGAATCGGATGTGTGTCTCTGGTCAGCAAACTGTCTTCTTCTGTACTTGTTATGGAGTCAGGCAGTTTTAAGAATTTGATTTGATAAATACACATGCATGCAGAAACCCACTGCATGCATTTCTCTATATTTTATACTACACAAAGCTAGTTTTATTTCCTGCCATTCTGATCCATGTAAAATTGCAGCAGCATGTGCTTCCCTTTGTACCTTGTCTCTGTGTTTGTGTGTGTGTGCGTGTGTGTGAGAGAGAGAGAGAGGGAGGGAGGGAGGGAGGGAGGGAGGGAGATTTACTCCGTGTTTTAGATTAACTGGAAATTAGGCAAAAGCAGAGGGACAAAATGGTTGGTTTGTTCACATTTGAATAGTTTGAATGCTAATTGTTGTAATCTATCCTATAGTTGAATATTAAACTTCCATAATTGTGTAGGTAATGTTTTAGGCTGTTTTGTGAGGCGGTAAATATAGTTCCTATTGGTCAAATAAAGCACGTGAAATAGGAAACATAAGACATTTTAATGATAATATGAAAGATGAAGGGGTAAACTGTATTTTTCCTGAAGCTCTGTAAAAATGTAAAATAAAGATTGCTTTTTATTAAACAAACAAACAAAGCGTTCAGTGATTTAATGAAGAATCATTTTAAAACATTTAAAGCAGACTGAAAGGCTGGTAAAGAAAATGGTGGACCACTAGATGGAGCACTTGTGATTCTGAAATGGTAGATTTGCTTATGAAGAGATTCAAGCTATTTAGTGGTGAGAAAAGCAATTCTGCCTATAAATCCTCCACTACATTAATAAAAGAGATATATTTCTCTTGTTCTGTTGAGAAGAGTCAGTCAGCTACGCCATGCCACACACATGGAAAGATGCTGACTGTCTTTCAGCTGGTCATATTTTTGTCCACAATGTTCAGCAAATTTTTGTTAACTAAATCTCCCAGGTTAGTGCTTCGTGCTTAAATGAGACCGATCACATCATCATAATGAATTGCCTAGTATGCAGTGAACAGGTTATGGAAAAGATTAACATCATCCTTGACCTGACCTCCACCAAAAGCTATTGCAATGGCTTCTGTTGTATGTCCTCCACCCCTTCTCTGAAATATAATCTTTGTTGCAATTGTGGGCAAAAAAGGACTTTCGGAAAGAAAACCCATTTACATCTTGGGCAGTAAATGGGCCCCCAAAACAGACAACCTCCCTATACAACTACTAGAGAGCATTTCATTCTCATTAGGAATGTATTTAGAAAGCATGGGAGGAGGGAGATAAATCAAGTTTGCATTCAAGCAAATTCTGACCCAAACAGAAACCTAGTTATCTTGAGAGCATGATTTTCTGAATTTTACAAAAAAACAAAAACAAAAACAAATAAACATTTTTTAAAAAATGAAGAAAATTATTTATGCAAAAGAATTGCCCAAGATCCTTAGATCCTTGAAAATAATGTACAAGTGTTTGGGGTTTTTTTGCATTTTAGAATTGTCAAAAACATAAATACATTAGGCAAGAATAAGTGTTTAAGATGAACAGCCATACAAATCTTTTAAATAAATGTGACCAAAATATGTATATTGGAATAAATGTTCGAAGTAACATGTTGAAATTTAACTGTAAACTTTAAAAAAAACTTATGTGGAAATCAGACAAAGTATACTTATGAATGTATAACTTGTACAGAGAAAGAAGCTGAAATTGACAAATTTACTCATTTTAGAAGGCTTTCTTTTGATGACATGGATATTGTTGGAGTTTACTTTAAAGATTTCAATGATTTTTTTTTCAAAGTATTTGGCCTCTTTTACACACCAAATGATATTGTTTTAATTTGTTATTCCTCTCCACCACCCCACCCCCTCTGCGCACACAAAAAAAGATCAGGGTCATCAACATTTAGAAAACTTGAGATCAAGTGTCTTAATCCTATGGAATTCAGCAGGTTATCAGTTACGTAAGTTACAACTAACTGTACCTATATAGTTTGTGATGTCATTGTACCAAACCTTCACATTCAGCTTTCTCATTGACTGGAGAAAGGGAAGAAACAATTGGATTATATCCAAGAACAGGCACTGGAAATTTCTAACCTTTGGGCCAAGTCTGTGGAGACTTATTAAGGCCTAAACCTTAACAAAACATTGAGAAGAAGTAGAGGTATATCTATTCAGTAGAGCTGGACAAATACCAATGAAGGACTTCCTTTTAGCTTGTTAGAGAAGCTGTAGTTTTTGTAGGGCTTCCGTTGGTTGCTTCAGAAGCTAGCCTTGTGTTGAAGATGGCTGTGCTGAACCCAAGGGAGGGGCCAAGCACGTTATCAGTTTGGAGTCCCTTCAGGTCCACAAGAGATCAGCTCTCCTTGAATGCCATTGACTCTTATCTACCGCCAATTTGCTTTGACCATTAGTAGTTCAGATTCTTGTTTAGACGTAGCATGAAATAAACTTGTACTCATTTTGGACCTGTCCTATTTCCTTGTGCCTGACACCTTATCTGTTTGCACACATGTCTCTACACACCCACTTCACTTTGATGGGAAAAAGTCCAGCAAAGTGGCAGTATGGGCACATACAGAAGGAGAATTCTAGGAGCACATTTTCGACGCTGGAAATATCTGCTTTCAGACTACCTCCTTGTTCCTGTATATTGGAAATGCCAGCTGCCAAAGAATGCAATAATTAATTTCTATAGCAACCTTACCAAAACAACAAATGATTTGTCATAGGATGTGTTGTGCAGCAGAGACATTTGGATTTGCCTGGAAAACATTTGTCAAATGATTTAAACCTTAATCTTATTTTTACTCACACCTAAGTGACTGGATGTTGTTCCTAACATTTGAACATATTGTTGTGTTGTTGTTTTTTAAATGGAGATAACATATTCAAGCAAGAAAAGCCTTCATTTGAGTCATATTGGAGAGTGGATTTACGTGGTTTTAAAATGGATACTATTACTGTTGTTGTTTTTGCTGTTCTTGTTGTTTCTTGGTTACTAGAAGGAAGTGGTAACTAAAATAGAAATCTCTAGTCTCCACAGAAATGATGGACTGTCAGACTTTATATATTATTTCGAATACGTGAAAAAGAGCCAGTTTCAGCCCTTACCTTAGCAGGCAATTCAAGCACATCTCAGACCTGCATATAGCATTTCATTTACAATAGTAGTAATTAACCCTTGCCAATTGCACTGTAATTATTCAGTGACTGAGGGTCTAATTGACACTGATGGCTTAGCTTTCAAACTATTAGTTCAAATGAGATTGAGTTTCAGTGTGTCAATGAATAAGTCATTTGAATGGAAAGATGGCCTTATAATATGCTGTTTGTGTTTGTAATAACTGGGATCAACTACCAGAAAGAGTTATATGTGTTATGACATGCGATTAATGTTTGAATAATATAATTTATGGGACTAGTGGTGCCACGATTAGATTTATTTTACTGGTACTTGTATACCTGAAAAGGTAGACAGATTCGCACTGTAAATATTATTTATAACAGCTTACCATGGTCATCCTCAGCCAGGAATGCTTCACAGGTTTTGAAAATTTCCAAAATTCTGTGTTTGGAGTCCTGGCTAGGAATTCTGGGAGCTGCAGTCACAATATGCCTATGCATGCCAATTCATTCATCTTTACCAATACCCTAAGCAAAGTTTCCATAAGAATGCATTGTATAGACGCACTCTTGGAAACACACAGAAAATAAAGAGAATAACTAAGCTTGCACAGTATTCAGAAGGTATAGCTAATGCAGAATGCAGTGGAACACATAATTCTGTGAGCCTCTAGGATGGCACAAATAACTCTGCTGTTGCGTGAGCTGCCTTGGTTGCCAGTTTGCTTCAGATCCAATT